GCTTAGGATGGGATCCTCTATCGTATCTATATTCGATAGGGAGTCTTTATTAATTTTTGTCATTGTAAATTATTTTTGTTTAACTTGCCTTGTTCGTTTGTATCTTCTGAGTTTTCATCATCACTGATATGATGTACTTCTGTAAAAGTTTCACTCATTTTGTTTCTTTTTCTTTCTCTGTGTGATATAAAATATCTCCATTATTCACTGTTTTTTATTTTTATATTTCATGAAAGGTTGGCTTGAAGAACACTGGTACACATTTGTACTTGCAGTTTTTTGCTCTTGCCACCCTTTGCGAGGGGTGAGTCCACGCGAGAGTTGTCGCTCCCGCGAGGTTCAAGTGGGTTCTGACGCTGGGGGGATCCTTATGGGGGAAGTGGTTCAATATTTGCAGTGAAGGGAATTTGGTTAGGGTGTAGTAACAGTTTTTGTTTATATTTGCGAGAAAAATCAGTAAATGAATGATTATTCAACCAAGGTTTCTAGTTTAGAGAAATTCGAGTACCAGTGTAAAAGTCAACATTCAGGAAGGGACGAGGATGCTGTGATAGTGCGAAGTCGTAATTTTGAAGTGTAAATTTGATGCTGTGGTCAGGTCTTTAAACAAGAACTGGGCCAATTGGTATGCAGACAATTGTAATTTTTTATACAATAACAACGGATTACGTGAACAAAGGTTGGACTACATAATTTACAAACAGCAGCAGCAGCAGCAGGTGACATCACCTCGTTTCAAACCTAAATATTTAAAATGAAGTACATCAGCATAAACTCGTCTTTTCTGTGATGTTGTTGCTTCACACAATTTTTATAGGATCTTCTGTGACAAACATGGATATCCTATATTGTCTTGTTGTTCATTGTGAAAGACTACATTGAACAACATAATTTTAAAAAATTGAGACTTTCTCAACCTCTTTTTCCTGGCTTCAATTCAAGTTATGCTGATCACGGAATTCGTTAGCCATGAATCATTGAAAACTCGACAGCTTTATTTCTCGAGTACAATTCAGTGCATCACCTGGGAAATTCACACGTTCCACCATAGTAGAACCATCTATGCATGACCATCAGTTTGATGATTTTGCATTGATTCATCAACACCTTATCCTTGATGCCAAAAGAGTAACTGAGCAATACTGTATCCTGTGCACCACTAAATCGAATTGTCTTCTACAAAGTTTAAATAAAATGCGCCTTGTGAAGCACTTTATTGATTCAGAGTTTCTTCACATGAAGAAAATTATGGGAAACATATATCCGTCCCAAACAAAGTCATGCTTTTTGAACCAGCAAACTGACGTGTTGCCTCGCAATGAGAGGTGCATTATTTGATTCGAGTCATGCGACTGGACCGAGAAAGGGCCGTGAGCAATTTTGCCTAGACCTTGGAATGTCATGACCTTCATACCATTCGGATATTAATTTTATACTCAATACCAACCAAGCCTCTGCGACTTGAAAAAAAGTCCTTTCTTTTTCTATTTTTTTCTCTGTGAATATTGCAAAAATTGAAGGCATCTTTTGGCCACTTTTCACGCTGTGATGGTTATGCTAAAATCAGGATGCAGTCAAACCTTGGTTACTCAAACCTCCCAGGATTGAATTTTTTTAAAGTCCCTGTCTGATTCCCTTCAAAACAATGCTTTAAAAATGTTTCCAAATCAAAGGCTTTTTCTGTCAAACCTCCATAACTTGAATTTTCTAAAGCCTTTTGGATGTTTTCCTCTTATTGACAAAGGAAAGAGAAAAGCATCCAAAGGTAACTTGATGCACTTTGAAAGGAAGTGAGAGACTACTTGGGCAAAGTAACTCCTGTCTTCAAGTTCAGCACCTTTTTCTTCAAGTTCAGCACCCTGTCAACTCATTCAAGAAGCAATTGAAGGCCCAGAATCTCACCATTTACAATTTCCTGCAATTCATCTATGTTTCCCATAACAAAAATGCTCTTTTCCCTAACTCAAAATTCTCTAAGTTGCTTTTTTTTGCTGGCCCTTTGAAATTTTACTTGGAGAGGTTTGACTAATCATCTTTGCTCAGGTGCTATATAGCCCTTTATTTTCATTTTTTTTACAAGCATGTAGAAGCGGGATATGAAAATAACCCCAGCATCAGCTGGAGATTGAATATTGCACATTTTGAAAGTTGCGTTCCGGAAAACCTGGTGCCTCTGAAGCGTAGGTCATATGCTGTTGCTGCTGGGGGGAATAACCGTCTTATGAAAAGTTTTCGGAAAACTTGTCCCCAAATCCCGTCCTAAAACTTACTTTCTGGCAAAATCAGAATAGATACTTTGAAGAGAGGATCGCTTCAGAGTTGCGTCCTTGATCTTAATATCTTTTTTGTTGTTCCCCTCCTCACGTGTAGATATCCGAAGATAAACGGGGATCGGGGAGTTTCAGGGCTCGCTTTGATGCGTCCTTTCAAGGTATAGGATCCCTTGTATAATGGAGAAATACTCGGCGATTCTGAACTTTCATCCGTGGTATAGGGAAACAATCCGGGATGTGCTTTGAAGAGGCTTATTAAGGAAGGTCGTCATGAGTTCTTCAAAGGCAGGCAGCAGTAGCTATAAGGCATGTTTTCCATCAAGATCACGATGCGATTGCCATGTTTTTCCAATTTTTTTTCTGAAGTTGAACGACCTGGACTCCGCAAATGGTTAGTATAAAACGCGCGATTCTTCTCGAAGAAGTAAAAATGTGGAAGACTGTTTTGAGTGCAGTATGTAAGCCAGAAATTTAAATATTTATCGGCTTTTTGACCTTGTAACTCACGAAGTGATTGGAAAATTCTCGAACGTAAAAACATACACGGAATGAAATGTAATGAATAACTAAGAAATTTTGATTTTGACGTTGGGACCAACTCGATTCGAACTTCTATTTTATTAAGCATTCGAAATATTATTCATTGGCATTTAAGATTAATTTTTGAAGTTTCTCCGAAATCCACTATAAGTGGTCCTGATGACAAGTACTGTACAGAAATTCAGAAATTCAAATCATGGCAATTTTATATGTCAAACTGATACTTTCGAATCTTCTGCTTAATGGACAATAATCCAATATAGGAAATATTGCAACTCGATTTATCGATATTATTCGAGAAGATTTTATTTAATTTTGAGGCCCTCCGTTAAGATAAAAACTAGGACTAAAGTTCGAGTAATAATCTCATTTGAAATAAAATAATATTAATCTGAAATGGAATGTTCTTTTCCACCGCCGTAATACAATACTACGTCACATGGAAACAAATTCAGAAGAAGGTCACTTGCTGTGAACGTAAAAATTAACCGGTTTCAAATGTAAAGACATTCGATGGTTGTACAGTACAGAGCAAATGGGGTTATTTTTAATTTTATTTTTTTGAAACTCTGGAAGCACTTATTTTTTTTTCTCGGGCTTCTTTTTTGCACAGGATTATTATTGGAAATGAACTTCACCACTGCACATAGGAAGAAGTAACGTATCTCAGAACTTCGGTATGGATTTCAAATATTTTAGAATAGCGTAAATCATTACTTTTATTTGAAGAGACTGGCCAACTTCTAGGTCAGCAATGCTCACTTCCAAGGAGTTCAAGATGATTTTCGAATCTTTTTTAAGAAAACTTGAGAATTTCGTTGGGCTACAATAGGGGTGATTAAACACCCTATTCTGATGTTGATATATTTTTACAAACACCAAATTTGCCAAGTACTCTAGAGATCCTCTTGGTACTGCGGCCCGAATTGAAGTGCATTCCCTATCTTGGGGATTTTGGGAAGAATGGTTTTCAAGGATGTGGAATATTATGACTGAGATTGTTGTTTTGCTATGTTGCTTTTATTCAAAGTTGATTGAAGGTTGTTTGGAGTTGGGCTAATTTATTATTTTTTCCTTGTCAATTTTGCAATAACAAACGAACAATGATTGAATATCAAATTATCTGAATCCGTTTCTGGCTATATTATTATTCACAATACATACTATGTAGATGATTCATTGACTGAAGGAATGCTCCCGTTTTATGCTGGGCTCCAGAAAAATAAACGACAAAAAATGTAAGGTGCCAAATCCTCGGAATTTCTATTGGAGAACAGTAGTACAGCTAGATTTTAGGGGTAAAAATGGCCTCTGGGTCGCGATCGCAGCTGCAGCAACACACTTACTCTTTCAACCATAACGAATTTCCCCTAGGGCAATTGAACCCGTTCCCCCCTCATCCGGGATCAAATAACTTGTTCCTCATCATTCGCATCCCGGAACCGGATCCACGCATCAGTATCGAATGTTGGGCGCAAAACTTGGCGTTCTTCCCCTTCCTGTTACCCTCCTATATTATTGCAAGAATGGGATGTTAGACAAAATAAAATGCAGCCCACTCATGCCGACATCTGATCAATTACTTCTCCTCATCCAAGCACCCAGAAAGAAAAAGGGGAAAACAAGTGTCAGCGTTTCGGCTGAAAGCTGAACAAACAAGCTTCCCGGGGGTTTGATCAATACCAAAGCATCCCAAGACTATTCACCTGATGGGGGACAAGCCTATATAAGTTATTTATCATTTGTTCAAACTTGACAAAAAAACAGTCATTCGAATAGATTTGATGGTGCCGATTCATCACACGTCTTCAATGACTTTAACTCCCTCCATATAAGTTTTCCTCAACCTTTTTGCGACCGAGGACTGGAAAAGTTCCACAGAAAATTGGTAGACTGGGAAATTCCTCAACATTTTTCTGTGGACTGGTACAGGTTTACACATTTTTTGCAGACTCAAAAAGAGTGTTGCTTGAAAGAGTATTTGAAAATTTTCTTTTTTTTTTGTGAAAAAATTAAATACCAATGGAGCAGCTATATACAGGGTAATGTCTTCCAAAAATGAGAAAGGTGGGCTTGAAGGAAGATTTCTCAAAATAAATTATTTCAGCATGCAAACATTTGTCTGAAGTGTTAGTTGGGAGAAAATCCAACTTTTATTTCTTCATCACATAATTTTGACTCTGCAATTGTCTTTGCAAAATTTTGGATAAAGATAATGGAATTCATTACTACCTTTTATAAATTAATTATGCTGCAGAAAATTTCCTGCAGCTAGACCAGCAATAATCTTCTACAAACTGGTGCTGGTCTGCAAACCACAGGTTTGGGGAACACTGCTTTATACCAGTGCTATAACTGCTAACCAACAAGTGACCACAATGAATAAGGACTATTTTTTATAAATTTTTGTGTTACCAAGAACAAAGAGGATCAACATGCACAATTATTAAAATTCCTGATGAAGGACCAGAATTGGAGAGGTAGGGAATGCTTGCAGACCAAAATTGACATTTTTTAAAGTTCCAAATTTTTAGAGGAAAAGTTAAGCATCCAATTTAGTGCCTTATTGCATTGCATCACAATAAAGCATGACCTTATTTGAAGGGTTGAATAACATTGTGCATTTTTTATTCATCTTGCAACATAAATCTATGTTGAATAAGGGCAGCTGCTGTGGGAAACAATTCCCTGCATCATATGAAATGCAGTTGATGTGCTAATGCATTCATCACATGATCACAGGGAATTCCTGGTGATCATGTGATAATCAGCACAGCAGCACCCTTCTTCCCCACCTGGTTTTTGATTGTGCAATTCTATTTTGCCTCAAAGCTTTCTTCCTTCTAATGTACACAGTCTCTCAGATGCTTTCATTGCATTCAGTTTTCTAAAGAATTGCTGTCTGTTGACATATTGAAAGATTTGTGACTGATTCTTTACTATTCAAGTGAAATAAATTTTGCTCTTGTCATTCTGGGATTCTACTGAGAATCCTCTGCCCTTTTCCCAGGCGGATTGTGCAGAATAATTTGTATTATAATTTGATGCATATTTCAATCTTTGTGGGCCTTTGCAAAACAGCTGCAACCTTGAAAGTTTTAGCAAAAAAGAATTAAGAGTATTTGCGGGTCGTATTTGCGGCTGCTGCAGTGATTTTATTACCTCGTTTTTATGAACTCACTTTCTTGTCTGTCTGTTTGTCTGGATCAAATTTTGAAACTCAAATTTCACTCACTTCACCAGGATGTGGATCAAGGGCAAGGGTTGGCGCCAAGGCGTCTGATTGGCTCGAGAAAGTCGAGTCGAAGACGTCTTGGCGCCAAGATTTTGATTTTTCGGAGGGGGTGAATCGTTAGAGTGAAAGTTCGTTGGCGGATGCTCTACTTTCTTCTTGAGCGGTTTTTTCCGCTCGATTTATATTAATTTTAATTTTATATTTCGAGGGGTGCGCAGCGAGTCCCCAACAAGCTGCAACCTTGAAAGTTTTAGCAAAAAAAAAAATTAGGAGTCTTTGCGGGTCGTATTTGCGGCTGCTGCAGTTGGTTTTTACCTTTGCTTAACGACTACACGTTCAACAAGCCAGAAGCAGGTAGAAGCTCAAAAACAACGTCTATGATTTGCGACCACAAAAATAATTTCCAAGTCGTTTTCCCTCGAATTATGAACCCCATGAACGCTGCCGTTTCCGTGATTTTTAAGATTACACGTAGTTCGTGGACTTCTTTCACGTCTGATTCTTTTGCTTGTGCGTAAAAAAAAAAAAAAAAAGAGTGCTAAAATTTCCAGTACTGAATATATATTGGACGATGATAGGTCACGAGACTTCGATGCCGTCATCGTTTGGTCTGGAAAAGAGCTGAATGAAATCCCTCATCATACCGGCACAATAATGCACTTCACAACACACTCCCCGGAAAAGGCACTTGCCGACAAGACGCATTGAATCGAACCCATAGACTTGAGGGACTATATACTTGAGTTTATCGAAAACAATTTCTGGATTCGAGGCACTTGACCCACGACGACCTTGGAATTTTCTGAAGATTCGGATGTGTCCTCGGAAATAACGCACAAAGCTTTCAAAATCATCAGGAATTTCAAAAATCATGAATCATTTACACAAACTGGGGTTTCTGATTTTTGATTTCGTTATGAAAACAAATCAGATCATTGCAGGCTTTGATACAATGACAGAAGGTCCAGCTTTTTTGCACGCACATCCGATTCTTCTATGTCGACAACCAAAACAGCACCTTTTTTTGATTCATCGAAAAATGGGACTTTCGACCTTATTTATCCACATTGAATGGATACTGATGAATACAATACTTTCGATTTAGGGAAAAATTCATGTGTTGCAGCATGTAGCTCAATATTTGCTCTCATTTCTCAACATTGCAATCATGTTTGATGAGAATATTGATTTTTGTCTACATTATGGGCAATCATGGGAAGTTAAAATTCATTGTAAAACCAAATTAAAAGTGAAATGCAGTATACAGTATATTGTTGAAAATGTTGTAATTTCCAACAGTTTTTCATTCACCAGTGAATATTTCGCATATGTATAAATCCATGGGTCCTCGTCCCGTCTCTGAATGCAGGTACATGTATGTACGCAAATAATTAAGGAATAATATAATATACACGGTAAACTCTGACCAAGAAGAACCCCCTGGAACTTGGCAGAAGTTTCTAGACGGCAATGGCATCCAGCTACAACTTGGAATCCATGTCCCCGGTTTTCTGGCTCTCTGCGAAACAGACCCCGGGACACGCGTGTATGAGAAACAACGAAAAGGAGGACACAACAACAAAAACAACGACAAAATAAATACTGTATCAGCATTCACAGCATCAGCTGGCTGCTGTAGCTGATTAAGCCAGACATATCCAGAGCCTCGGGCCTTATATCCAGACACTATCCAGCAGAGAACGTCTGTCAGTACATAACCAGAGACATGTATATATACACGAAGTTTATACTGTTGTGCAGAATTTCATCTCAAGGCTAATTCGCTGACGAGGTTTGGCACGCGAATGAAATTGGACCAGGAATTTTCGCAGATTCTCTGCTCCTTGTTATTCTTTTTTGTTGCTCATTTTGACGTAGATTTATGATCAAATCCCCCCCATCAATTAAGCAAAGAAGAAAAGAAAAACGAATAGAAATATTAATTAAATTACCCACGCCTGCAGACTGATTATCTCCCTGAATAATTATATATTTTCTGATGGAAAGTGCTTGGTTTTTATGTTTTGAACACAAGAAAGTTTCTGTTCATCCTTCAGAATGAGACCAATTTAAATCTGGAAGATCATCTCGATTCAAGACCGCATTTTTCGGTGTATTCGAGCAAATTACGCATCGGTATTTTCAGCGTTCTTCATCATGTATAGTGTGCGCAGTACTTGCTGAGTAATTACAGCATTTTTCCGGACTGTAGTCAGTACTGGAAATCAATCCGATTGGATCAAACCTACGTCTTCGCATATGCAGTATTTTTTTGCTGATTTTCTCCAAATTTCAGTCACACCAAATAAAAAAAAAACGTGTCACTCGAATGACTTATTGCCATCGTCATCGAAGGCTATCACAGAGTATTCTCCACCTTTTTGCAAATTCCCGTCACGGTTGTACTATTATTGGCTTTCGGTGGGGCCAAGTGATCCATCATGTCGCAATTTGTGTACTCTCGTTTCAGTGGTCGAATCCTGATCCCGAGCCAGCGAAGGCCAAGGATTCGCCTAACTGAGCCATCAAGGATCCTCTCGATCCTCCCCACGGTATGCCAGCAGCTGCTGGAACATATATATATATATATATATGATATAAATGTGCGTGTGTGTGTGTTTTTGGAGACCAAAGAGAGAAGGTACAGGACAATAAAGAACGTCTGGAAAGTCAGGGATCCGTGGTCTCTGCCTTCTTTTCTTTTTCGCTGTTCACGACCTTTGAAAGGATCTGGCTGCGAATGAGTGAATTCACATTGAGAAATTGGGATGAAATATTTCAAAAAGAATAAATGTGGATCTTCATCCCATATGAATATGATGCCATGTTTTTAGAGAACTGAAAGAAACGCATTATTCGGAGAAATATTTTGAAAATACTGTACAGTATACCAGTGTATGTTTACGCGTCAACTGTAATTGATCAGTTCAAATAATATTGAGGAGAAGATCATTCTAACTTATATTTCTTTCAGTTGAACTTATGCAGATAAAAGGGAGCTTCACTTGTTTTCCAAAAGTCAAACTAATTTCAATTAATTACTTAAAATCCTTGAGATGCAGCTAGGGATAAAAACGACTTTCCGCAAAATTATTAGAATCGAACTCTGCGAAAATTGCTCAAAAATGTATCTCAATTGGTTCATCTGTTTCATTGCTTAATTCATTGCTGTGAGATCATGTATTCCGCATTCATTCAAAAAATTCAGGCTTTAAAAATTCTTTATGTGGAGCACAGTATATAGTCAATTGACATTCTTATATGCATTAAGCCGATTAAGGCATGATCTTGAAAATTTGCTGACGGCTCTTTGAAAAGTTGCATTATTCACGAAAGCTGACTTGAAAGTTATTGACAGGTAAGTGGAATATATTCAGGTCGAGTACGCAGAAAGTTGTGCCAATAAATGCTTCTGCAATACACGCAAAAAAGCCTATATCAAAAATATCCCTTCAATAATGTTTAAGATTGTGTTGTACGGTTTTTACGAGAGGAAATATTTGAAGCCGTACACCTTGTTTTTAAGTTTTTAATATGGCTTGATTAAATTTGCAAAGGAGGATTTGAAATTAGAATTGTCGAACAGGATTTTTAGAAGAAGATTTTCAAGAACAGGATAAATGAATTCAACACAGCAATTGGCCGGTGCGCGAACCGACCAGGGATTCTCTCCCAAACAGCGCAAGCCTTTGTTAGCAGATCGACAAATTGAATTGAATACAAAATATGCACAACAGGTTTCCGCGGTAAAATATGCACAACAGTTTTCCGACTTGGTAAATTTCAGCAGGGACAAATTTTACGAACACAACGTAACGCTTCGCACGCAAAATTCGGACTG